GTGCCCTAACCGGCAGAAACTATTGAAGTCAAATGTTTTTGTTTTTAATGTGTGAGAGCGTGGTTAATCAAGTCGCCTCTACCAACCCCGGCATGGCGTACCGGGATGTTGAACCAAACTGAAGCAATGCGGGCTAGAATAGCAATATACCAGCACCGAAAGTTTATTTCTATCTTCCTCCTACAGGGAAGAACTGTGGCATACATACACTTGACCATTCACGGACAACCGAGTGTCGCAAAGGTGTTAGATTCAAAAATACACGCACACACACATCGATTCGAAACGGTAACTGACCTGACCGGGGGCCAGTTGGTACAGACCCAAAGCGGGAGCCAGCACAGATGTGCTGTTCGAGGGCATGGAACAGCCGGGTTCGGCAAAAGTGACCGAATTCACCGCAACCACATCGGCCGCGTCCAACAGACCCAAAGTATCTCGTCGCGTCAGGCCGGGCATACCCAGTACCACAGCTTGACCGCCAACATTGCTGAACACGAATGAGTACTCTGCCGCATTGTCCCCAACTGGGGTGTGCAAAGGCGTGGACATGGCACTCGTATTCGACCGATCTAAATCGACACAAGCGGAGTCTGTGTGGGGGGAGGGGGGCGTAGGGACAAGAGTAAAGAGAAAATGTTAGAGCACTGAGAGCGTGCATGAAAACGACTTCTGCGTATACATAAGACAACACACTATGGTCGGTTTTGATAACTGTCTCTCAAGAACTTTTAGCAAACAAGCAACAAGGCATATCTTCTTAAAAATACTACAAGGCATTATTTTACAAGTGGGATGGGGAACACATGTCGACAAACCCGAAGAAACTGATGAAGTAAAATTCAACCATTCTGATCGTCGTGAACGTTTCCATGATCGATACGCCTGCATTGTTCGAACCCCGTTATAGTCGCCTACTTGATCATCACTTTTAACTTTGTGCAAATGGATCTATGTGAACACCAGTACACAAATCACCAACTTTTGGCATGCGATAGGCATTTCAGGTTCCAACTACAAATTTTCCGACTTAATTGCCAAGAAAACCACATTTCTGTAAAAATCCCACCCAATACAGAAGAAATCGTGGCCTAGCGCTTCTCATCGGCCATTACACCTAGAGTTGTTATGAACATTCGACACACAACGGAGTATGAAATGCCACAGTACATATCCCATATTGCTCAAAAGAAGGGAATATCTCAATAGACAACACAGATGGTCAAAGCCGAAACAACTCCATTACTGCATGCCCGAAGAAGAACAAATAGTGTCCATTTGTTTCATGATACAATAACAGGTGTACAGTGTATGCAAGTATTTTCAGTGTTGAGTAGCACTTGGATTGTGCCAGACGAATACAATCACATCAACAAGTTGTATCTCTTTCAAATGAATAAAAGAGAAATTTGGTTCACGATTCGGCCTAGTGTTTTATTTTTTGTCACCGGCGTGCTTTGAACCCTACAGTCGGAGATTTGAACCTAGCCATTGCCACACAACTTTGGTGATAGGCAGGTTTACTGTGATGGCATCAGTACCACACCTAACCTAGTGGGACCTTATGTGGTTCGCCACTTCAAGTCACAGGGTTTAGGTTTTTTAATTACGCACCTAGGTGTGATAAACAGCAGACGGGGCGAACTCCATAGTCACAGGAACCTGCTGTTCAGTGAAGGAAACCAGCAAACTAAGCCACGCGGGACTTGGAATGGTAAACCACATAGGGCCCCGATAGGTTAGGCGTGGTAAGGAACCGACTACCATCACTAAACAGCAGGTCCTTGGGACTACGCGGATTACCCCATTTGCTGTGCACTAAAAAAAACTTTTGAAGGGATCGCCAGAAGGAAAAATATCATAACTCGGCAACCGGGGATCCAAATCAGATTGGGTCAAATAAAGTAGCTCCAACTGCCCTCCCCCTAAGGGGAGGATTTTCCGCTCATTAGACAGACACACACACGCTGATTAACGAATATAATCAAAAAAGTACCTCTAACAATATGGNCATTCATGCAAGAAAAAGATGATAACGAGAAAGTGAGAAGAACCGGTCCGTGTCTATTCGAGGAAGATATTGAATGATAGGCAGACGGTTCTTTAATACATCAGCAACACATCTGGCAGAAACAATCGGATAATGGTGTAGAGGTTGTTGAAGTGAACAAGCACTGTTGAAGCTGTATGTGTACCGAGGGTGAATATTGTCGTTGGAAAGAGCGAGAGTTTTATTGATGATGAGGTCAAGCAGGTCAGGCATATACAGTTTACGTACCACATGGACGTGAGCTCAATCTGATAAACTAAAC